ATATTTCATTGGTATACCAATTTGTAAATAAAATGATTTCAAAAAGTAAAAAATTTTACCCCATAACATACAATTTGAAATCAAATTGAGGACGGAGGGAAGTAATATTTTTGAACAAATAATGTGTGTAATATGCGTGCTCTTGTTACGTGTTTGCATTACTTCAATCTACATATTAACTCCTTGCTAAAAATATTATCACAGGTACTATTTTGATTTTCAGTTTTTCGATAATTTTTGTTTGTTTACTTATTTTCAGTGATCATATGATAAAATAAAGTATTCTTATTGAATCTTATTTTGTAGAACTTTTGATCTAATTTTAAATGATGTAATTTATGTTTTTTTATTTATCCACCAATTTGTAAGTATAATAATTTTAAAAAAATATGATATTTTGTAGATTATTTGAAATGTGGTGAACATATATGTTACTACCTCCGTCCTCAAATGTTCTTCCCACTTACTATTCACACGGTTAAACTTTAATCACTTTCTTTACGTATTTTCATTAGGTATTTGATAAAATAATATTGTCTTATCACCACTTGTTTTGTAGAACTTTTGATGTAGTTTTTAAATATATAAATTTTATTTTTTAATTTTACACCTACAATCAAATAAATTAAATTAAAAATAAAGTCGGTCAAACTTCGTAAACAGAACCGGGAAGATCATTATAGGACGTTGGGAGTAGAACATAGGAAATATATTCCAATTTTTATTGTTGTGAAAAATTGAATGGCGACACCACTACTTTGCATCGTTTTTTGCACCAATGGTGTTGCCTAGGGGTGGGCACGGGCCGGTCCGAGCCCAAATTTATATAAATCAGACTCGGCTTGTTTTTATTAAAACGGTCCGGGCCGGAACGGGTTTTTAAAATTTTAAAATTGGAATCGGACCTAACCCGGCTTGTTTGAAACGGGCCGATTCCACGGGTCAACGGGTCCGAACCTATCATTATACTAACATTCTTCAAAACAAATAGAAATTATAGAATAATGCCTTCAAAGTTCAAAAAAGAGGAATAAATGAAAAAAACAATGACAAAGAGGAGCATGAGAGTAAAGTATACACCCCATGATCATCCAACAACAACAACAACAAAAAGACAACCACATTTTGGCATTATAATGTCAATATGTTTCAAAAAGAGTAAAATTGACAGTCTTCATGACTTCCAAAAAATCCAAAAAACCTGCAAAAAACAATTGGAATATAGAAGGACCGAAAGTGTTACTAAAATTAATTGGAATAGGTGGATATACCGTATATTTACTTAAAAAAATATTAAAAATAATATTAGTATTTAAAAAACAGTCCGTTCCGGGTCCCAAATAATTTCAAAATGAGGAACCGGACCGACCCTAAAATCTATAGGAACCGGACTGACCCGGACCGTTTTAAATTTTTGAAATGACGACCCGGACCTAACTCGGCCCGAACCTGGCGGTTCGGTTACGACTCGCGGTTCCTGGACCCGAATGCCCACCCCTAGTGTTGCCCCCATTGATTTTCTCTATTACTCGTATAAGTTTTTCAATGAAATAATTTATCACGGAGAAACATATTACTCCGTAGTTATTACTCATTCGAAAATATTGTCTCACTTCAAAGGATATACAATATTTTCTCTCCGTCCACAAAGAAACTTTACATTACGAGTTACGATGTTTGACTGAAGTTATTTTCAAATCATTTTATATGAAAAATGGTGTAAAATTGAAAAATAAAAATTACATATTAAAACGCTATATCAAAATATCTATAAAACTAGAAGTGACATGACTATATTATTTTATCAAATGGGTGACGAAAATAGGCCAACAAAGTGAATAAAGTTTGACCCTGTGAATAGTTAACGTAAAGTTTATTTGTGGACGGAGTGAGTATTTTTTTAAAATTATTTTATATTTATAAATTTATACAGAAATTAAAAGTATATATAAATAAAAATTATTGAGAAACTAAAATAATTCATGATTTTTAAGATGTTAGTATTGTTTATTTTGCAGTATATTACTCCACACATATTTATATAAATTTGCTACTTTTGGATATTTTTTGTTTAATAATATACTCCGTCAAATATTATGATATTAAACTAGTTTTTAATGAAATTGGATATTTAAATGTTCTAATTGATGTTATAAAGCTTCCATATATTAAGTGAAAGTTGCACTAAATTGTACGAAAAATATGTCATTTATCTATGTAGTTCTTAAACTTTTTTATTTTCGAAATAGTACTTAAATAATATCTAATGGTAGAAATAATTTCTAGTGATGATGGATATTTAGTATGTACAAGGGCATTTTGGAATGCAAGTATTGTAATTTGTAAAGAGTTTCTCTACTTTCGTATTGAGTATTGTGTTGATAGAGTTTGGAATTTGTTGGAGTTTTCACATCGGAAAAAAAGATGAATACTACTAGCATATATATAGAAGAGTGAAACCTAGCTTACATATCGACTTAAACTTTTGGGTTAGAATAATGGATCTCGACTTTATATGCAAGTGATTAACTTTACATGACACTTTTCCCGTTGTTCTCGGCCCACCGGAATTTTAACATGGTATCGAAGCAGGTCTGATTTGGATTCGATTCTTCCTGATTGTTTGGACGTGAGATGCTAGACCCGTTTGTCCAAGTGCTAACTAGGCAAGACTAGTTACCACTTGAGGGGGGAGTGTTGAAGTTCATACATCGGAAATTAAAGAACAATACCACAAACATATATAGAATGGTGAACCCTGCCGATCAGCTTAAGATTCTGGGTCAGAATAGGAGATTCTGACTTTAAATGCAAGTGATTAATTTTATCCGATAATCTACCTATTATTCTTGGCCCATCGAGATTTTAACATGATATCGAAGTAGGTCTGATCTGAATTCGTTTTTTTCTGATTGTTGGATGTGAGATTAGTAAAATGTTTCCCCACACCATTCACTATCATAGAGGAGCGACTCGGGAACACACATAAGTTCCCTTTGAACTTAACCAACCAATGAGTCTCCATTTAGTACCTTGAGATCAAATTACAGCTCAAATTAGGAACAAACAACAAATTCATTCTTATGATGACGTATGATTGAATACAAAATCTGTTTTCGATCATGTACCATTATAATTTTTGAAATTATGTTCCTAGAGAAATATTCCTGAATATTTTTAGATGAATTAAAGGAGCTGTACAAGACAAAATAAACATATAAGAACCTACTTAACGAAAACCATTTAAACTATATTTGGTCCAAAAAATTTGAAAGGGAAAAAAATAAAGTAGAAAATAGTTTTCTTTGTTTGGTTAGAGAGAAAAAGATAACAAAAGTGGAAGGAAAAGAAAATGAGAAGACAAATGTACTAATTAGAGAAAAAACCAAATTCCTTCCTTTCATTTTGGTGAGGGAAATGAGAAAAAATTATTTTCTTTTCTTATCCTTCCAAATTTCTTGAACCGAACGTAGTGTTAAAGAAACAAACTATATTGAGAAAGTTTACAAGAAAAGAAGTTATATAAGGAATTAACAATCAAAATGAATACTCTCCAATATTGTTTCTTAAAACACATTGTTCCCATGACATGACATTGAGGGCATCTCAATGTCATGGGATGATCAAGATCCCTCCTATTTTCTGTTTAAAAAAAGAATAGTTCCCATCACCTTAACTTCACGAATACACCCCTACTCTAACCCGATATATTCATACCCACCTTCATTGTACCCCCACAAATTACACCCACAAGATTTAGTTGATTTTGAAGTTAAATTTGATTCTAAAATCAACTAAATCTTGTGTAGTGCAATTGACGGAGTGGGGGGACAGGTTCGAGTCAAATCAAGTTAGAGGTTTATCAGGGGGTTATGGGGTAGAAAGTATCAGATTTTTGAACAGAACACCGTAAGAAGTTCAAACAGAGGTCATGTCATAGAATGACCTCAGATGCTAATGTCATGGAAACACCATCTTCTTAAAATATACGGAGTATGTACTATCTCAGATTATTTATTTAGTTTTGACTTTTTACACTCAATCATTTTGACCTTTGGTTTCATATTAAATAGAGATTATAAGTTATATCTAATAACATGTTTATTTAGTTGTAGTCAAAATATGTCAATTTTAAATAAAAAAATCGGACAATTATTCGGGAAAAAGGAAAAAGTAAGGGTAAAACGTTGAAAATATACCAAAATAATATTTTTCATATTTTTATTCCCGAAATAGAAGTTAAAATACATTTACATTACCAACTTGGTCATTTACATTACCAAAAGTATAGTAATGTGCACGTGTACAGTGCCACATTACCAGAGTGTGAGTTCTATTTCGGGAATAAAAGCATGAAAGTCTTGTTTTGGTACTTTTCTCTATGTTTGAGAAATTTATCTAAATAAGATTAAAACATAATGACTTTCTCAATATAGGACCATATGTTTTTATTTTTAATGTAGGATCTTTTGTTATTATCAATATAATTAGTCATTATTCAACTAAACGTCTATCATTACTGAACATTATTTCTCACACTAGACATTATTAAATTCTATTTAGAGAATAGAAAAGTTTTAAGTTCCATATTGGAATATGAATTATGTTTTAGTTCTATTTAATGCAAATTTCACTTGTTTTTAGTAATGACTTGTTTTATTTAATTTGTGTAATATATCATTTTTCTCAAAGACAGCATTTTAGAACCTCTCATAACCAAATGTTAGAGTATATACACGGAGTATATAGAACCGATCCTATTTTAAAAAATAATATGTTTAAATCTCGTCTGCAGAAAGTGATTATTATAATTCATAATGTTTCTTCCATCAAAAGAAAATAGTATGTTGCTTAATAACGAGCAATATACTCCGTAAATACATAAGATTATCGTCATTAGTAGTACATGTGTTTTTTTGTAATACGGAGTAGTGTTGTGTTTGGGAAACAAGAATAGATAAGCTCGGTCTAACATGTCCCTCTGTCCGAGAGATGTTGAGATCGATAGTCCCCATTTCACTTTGACACTCTTCTCTCTCTTTCTTTGTTTGTCGCCATTCTAATTTAATTTTTGTATGCATTCCTATTATTTCCTCCTCCCATCGTCACCTTTCCCCTAGCCACCTACTCTCAAAATGAACTCCGTCGATTCTTGATCATTAAAGAATGGATTTTGCGTTGATGACGCCGGACAACGGCACGGCGGCGCCCGCCGGACACCTGTCCGCGTACAACAACTACGCTCTTCTCGCAGAATATAAACCCGGCTCCGGCGACCCACCAGGCGGCGACGGCGTCAGGACCCATGGATCTATGCACCCCGTCAAGCAAGAAAGATCTGGGCCGCCCTCGCCATCCGAAGAATCCCGGAGGCCTTCTAAAGCTCCCACCTTTCTGCTGAGATCTGCCGCTGCTGCCAGCGGCGTTCCCGGAAAACCGCCCACCATGCTCAGCTTCTCTTCCGCCTCGGAAGAGATTCCTTTTTTCTCCGCCGCCGAAGATTCCCCTCCCACAAAAAGCTTGTGTTACCCGTTTTTGCAGGCGGAGCAGAAACGGGCCGCTCCCCATTCCGGCGGCGGAGCTACCGGTATGCACAAACGGGTCGAATGATTTGTGAATTCTTTTTCCCTTATCTACCCAATAACATTTTACTCTGTCTCCGTGAATTTGAGGTTATGGAGCGGCGAGAGGGTGGAGCGACGGCTCGCGCGGTGGATTTGGACGGCCGAGCGGACCATTCACACCACCGCAGTGGATGGAGTTGGAACATCAAGCCCTGATCTACAAGCACTTAGTTGCAAATGTCCCAATCCCTTCTAATCTTCTCATCCCCATCGCTAAAGCTCTAAACCCATACTCTTTCTCTGGCTTAACTTCTGCTTCTTCTAATTATGCCTCCAACTGTAAGTTTTCCATCTCAATTAATTCCCAAACTCACTAATTAAATTAAATGCAGCTCCATCTGTTTGTATTTAATATTTGTCCATCTTCCCCAAACTAAACACCTCAAAGATTGCAACTTTGTTCTCCAAAGGTGGAAACAAGACAAGCAATTTATGTCCCAAAAGGGAAAGATTGACAATATATGTTTCTTTGGTTTGATTCATGGAGTTCACGCGATTTCTTGAATATTTGGTCTGTATCTGGTGGGTGGGGGGAGGGCAGGGGGATGGAGCGTTGGTTTGGGCTCAAGCAACGATCCAGAGCCCGGGAGGTGCCGTCGGACTGACGGCAAAAAATGGCGTTGCTCCAGAGATGCTGTGGCCGATCAGAAGTACTGTGAAAGGCACATCAACAGAGGCCGCCACCGTTCAAGAAAGCCTGTGGAAGGCCTCACCGGCCGCACTGTTTCCGGATCTGCCGCCCCTTCTTCAAAGGTATCGCCACCTGCTGTTGCAGCTTCTGCACCGCCGCCTGCGGTGGCGATATCCTGTGATGGTGGCGGCGCGTCCAACAGCCTCGGTGCCTTGAAGCACCACCATCAGTTCAATAACAACACTCACCCCAATCTTCCAAACCTTCCCACTACCAACAGGTAATATAATGTATATTATTTTGACCAAATTAAATTGTGTTAATTTATATTTTATGATAGATTTAATGAAAAAAATATTTGTATGACAGGGGACAAGGTGTCCCTGTGACATATCCTAGTGTGAGTTTGAAGGACACCCAAGAACACAACTACCCTTACAAAGACATGATGGGTTATGGGTTTCTGTCCTCATCGGAATCCGGTCAAGATGGAGACCAACAACATCGTCATCCGGTTCGCCATTTCATGGACGGGTGGGTGACCAAGGAACAACAATCGACCCGAGGCCCCGTGGAACCGAAACCAGACTGGACTCAGCTCTCAATGTCCATTCCCATGGAGCCGAAACCGGACGAACGGCCTTCCAATTCTTCCCTCAGACCGGTTCAAAAGACATCAGCAAATGGTTGGATTCCGGCTGCATCTTGGGGGAACAATATAAACACTTCGTCGTCGTCCATGGGGGGTCCGCTCGGGGAGGTTTTAATAAACAGCACCTATGGTTCCTCACCGACGGGCGTCTTGGGGGGCTCCACCTTTGTGTCGCGCTCGAACAGCAGTTCGGGGAGTAGCCCGCCGTCTCGGATGAGATGAGACCAAGAAAGATGTCAAGCTATCTGGCTTGTTTGTTTTAAGTTGTTTTGAGTGTCACAACATTATATTGTGTCTGGTGTATGATGTTGTTAAGTAAAGAATGTTTGGTTATGCAACTTGTGTCGGTTTTACTATCCTTTTTGGTACGTTCATTTGTTTGTTTTTTTCCTTTTAAATAACTATGGAATAAGGTTGACTGTTCTTTTGCGTATGATGTTTTATGAGAATCCAAATTTGGTTTTCGGTTTGGTCATATATTACCCCATGCAAATTTGGTGAGGTTTAGTAGCAATGAAACTATATATATATGACTTGAAAAGGATGGGACACAAAAGTGACATTTTTAATATTTAGAAGCAGCTGAAAGTCAAACAACAACATACTAACTACATAGGTACTCCCTCCGTCCCACTATATTTGTCTACTTTTATTTTTGCACACCATTCAATGCACTTCTTTAATCTATTTTATCTTGTAATTTGTATATTAAAAAAATATAGAAATTATATATTAATAATCTATATGTTAAGACAAATCAAACAAGATCACACATGACTATATTTAAGCTTACACATTGAGAGAATTTGATGAGTCAAAGTGCTTAGATGAACAGTTCCAAAAGTCAAAAGTGGACGAGTTTCTCAAATTACATTTATTTTCTCGGGTGACTTATGGAGGTAGTATTTGCCTAGTTTCTCAAATTAAATTTATTTTCTTTATATTTCTGGCTATACTTTCCAAACTTCTATCTGCCTTTCCTGTTTTTGGTTCATTATTTTTTGGCTCAAATTTAATTTATTTTCTTTATATTTCAGGATATACTTTCACTTAATATTTGTTAAAATAGTATTCTTTTATCTTTTTTTGTTTGGTAGAATTTTTTATTTAGCTTTTTAAAATGCCACAAATATAATTTTTATTTTTTATTTTACAAATATGGAGTTAAATAATTTAATATTTGTTCAGTCAAATAACATGAAATAAAAATATGAATAGCGGGATGGGGGGATAATTAATAAATTAAGAAGTCACCCGAGATAAGAATATACGTTCTTATAAAATTAATGCTCCTAATTTGACTTTTCATAAAATATAAAAAAGGTAAAATTGTGTGGTGAAAGTGATGTAGCGAGAGAAAAAAGGCAAGTCACAAAAATGTTTTCAAAAAAAAGAAAGATTAATTTGAGACAACACAAAGAAGAAATAAGGAAGATTAATTTGGGTAGGAGAGTATAAAACATACTCCCTCCGTTCTTAAAAACACTTCCTCTTTCATTTTTTTCACTTTCAACAAAACACTTCCACTTTCTATTAAAAAACCACTTTTACCCTTATTTTTTCATACCCTACCTATCACATCATACTTTTTTCTCTAATAATCTATCCATCACATCTTACTTTTACCCATCACATCAGGGGTAAAATTGGAAGTCAGTTATAATTTAACACTTCCTTATTTTTGCTCCAAGTCAAAATAGGAAGTTTTTTGCAAGCGGAGGGAGTACTACTTCTGTCCTAAAAAGGCTCTTAGTTTGACATACCACAAAATTTAAGAAAAATAAAAAGATGTGATTGAAAATGGTACAAAAAGATAGAAAGATTCTGAGTCATTCAAAGTTTTTCAAAAAAAGAAAGAGAGAATTTGTTGAGTTAAAGAACCTAGGGGCCTAAGAAACTAGGCGAAGAGTATCGAACGAGAGTCGAGTATGCTCAAGTTAGTAATCAAGGGAAATTATAGGGATTAGTGTGTAAGTGAACGTGTCTCTTCCCCTCTTGAAGAGGGACTTATATACAGATTACAAATGGGCCTTCCAGACCGTTGGTCTATAATCCCACCAGATCCAGCCGTTCGACCGACGGCGTCAACCGCATGATTATCACTAGAGTGACTACACATGATGAGTTACAAAAGGGTGGCTAGAACTAATCTGACGAAGGCGTGACAGGAGTCCAATCGCGGACCCACTGATTTGACAAGTCATGCAGGTTCCCATATGCTGTGGGCTAGGTCCAGCAGCAACTCAGGTTGAGGCCGAATACACATGGACTGGTCTTTGGAAAACTCCGACGGAGAGCCGGCCGACTACGATCCGAGGCTGAGCGCGTTCTCCCTAGGCCGAGCGTGGGTGTGTCCAAATGTGGTAGCTCCCTTGGGACCTTATTTTCTTTGAGTTCTGTCTAGCCGAGTGGACCTTGTCTCGATCGGGCCTTGTTAATCCGGATAACCCAATTCTAGGGTATCGACCAGAACTTTTTTTTGGGACTTCCTAACAAGGAATTGATAAGTCTTTTTTTACTATAGAAAGAATAGCTTTAATCCCAAAATAAGAATGACATGTTTTTATCCTTAAAATAAGAGTTTAAATTGTGACTTTTATTCTAAAATATGAGTGACATCTTTTTTGCATTGCATAATACTCCTGTTTTGAAAGTAAAAATATAAATTTCATATTTTGAAAAGGAATCAACAAATTAAGAATAACAAAATAGGAATTTGCAATGTCAAATGTATGGTGACAGCCCACTGTGTTATTTAGTACTTCGTATTATATACTGACATTATAGACATTATAACTCTTATTCTAAAAATAAAAATATAAAATCTTGTTCAGATACATTTTCCATATTTAGCTCATAGTTTATTTTCTTGAGTAAAATCCATAAAAGGTTTTCAGTATTAGTCCGTTTAAATATTTAGTTCATTCATATCAAATATGAAAAATTTATTTTCCAATTATTATGTTGTTTTTTTACGAAAGGTCCTTTATTAACATTTCCGTTAAAAACATGGATAAAATTGTAAAATCACACTTATCTCTCTCATCAATTAAGCCTACTTCCTCCTCTTGCACTCCTTTTCCAAACCTGTCGCTGAGTTTGAAGCTTTGAAGCCAAAGTCATCACTCATGTCTCAATTGTTTGTCTTCCTGCTGGAATACAAAATCGAAACTAGTAACATTAATGGATGATTTTAATGTTTGCTTTCTATGAAATTTCTTGAAACTAACCCATAAAACTCATCCATGAAGGTCATTAGTTTTGATTTTAGGTTCTACTAGAAAGATGAACAAAAGCTTCAAACTTAGTGACGGTTTGAGAATGAGTATGAGAGAAGGGAAGAAACTTAATTGAAGAGAGAGAGGAGTATGTGATTATACAATTTTATCTATGTTCTTAACGGAAATATTTAAAAATGACTATTTGTAGAAAACAATAGAATAATAGGGGACTAAATTATTAATATTTGATATGTAGATATCAAATATGTAAAACGATCTATAACTGAAGATCTTTTATTTATTTATTTTTTTTTTAAAATTCTTGTCCATTTTGTGGTAATGGAGTGGATGGGGACAAATGGGTTACGCCTTACCCGTATCATTTTTCATTATCCAAGCCTAGCCGAACCGAGTCGAATCATCACCACCGATTCATCTTATCCACAGATAGCCGCGCCTCCACTTCTCTACCGCCGAATCTCTTCAGTCACCCGGCACCCGCGGCAACATTCAGGTACGCCGGAAGCTACGTTTTTGTTGATTTCAGATTTCAGACCTTAATTCCTCCGCGAGTAGTTCCGGACTGAAATTAGAGTTGCGCGAATTTCTCTGAGCGACTCTTTCAACCACACCCTATATTTTTTTCTTCCTTTGTTATGATATTGAAATTGGAGTTGTGTAAATTGTTTTGCTGAATCCTTACTGGATATCAACATGGAGTATTGATGAAATATCTGAGTGTCCATTGCCAATGGAGATAAAAGATAACATTTTTTAACTAGGTTTTAGTTTGGGGTAAATAAAGGATTAAATCTAAATTGAGCATTAAAATCCCCTAGATTCTTACATTTTTTGAAGATTTGGACAGTAATTGCAGCAAGGTTTCAAGGGTCTAACAGAAACAGAAACAAACCCTCTGTTTTTTAGGGGTAAGATTGCACAAATCTTGACACCCTAGACACCAATGTAGTTGAGATTATATGGGCTTGTAGTTGTTGGTGTTGATGTCTCATTTCCTAAATTGAAATCTGGAAATTGGAATTGGAGATTCTGTTTTTAATGCTATGATTTTTTTACTTTCGCTTTTTCAATGCTTTTTTTTTACAAATTTTTTTAGTGGTGTGTTAATCAAGGGAGTAGATTTCTTGTGGTTTTCTTGTTTCTCTTTATAGTTCTTGTTTCAATAAATTAAGAATGTTCTTATTTTCCTAAAAAACAAACTTCCTTCAATTTGAGGACACAAACAAGATCATATATAAGCTTTGACATGTTGGCCATGCTAAGGGACTTGCAAGTAAGGAAGGTGTTTTTATTTGGGCCTTTGGAAGACATTTAAAGACTTAAATCTCTGGGTATTTATTTGAGTCATTTTAAAACTTCTCAAAAGTATTGGGATATTTATGTAGACAATTTAAGAGTCTAAAAATGTTGTGATATATTTATATTGGCTCACGATTTTCACGAATTTGATGCAAAGAAGTATATGTAATTTAAGCTGCATCTTATATCGGCAATTTGAAGTGTTAGAATGTGAAAATTGTACACACCTTAGGTGGATGAACTGGCATTCATACCCTCGCTTATGAGGGGTCTCAGACTGAGATTAATTAAAAGCTAAAAACCTGTTGCTCAAGCTATGTCCCTACGTGGAGTTGGGCTGTATAACCATTAGCTTGTTGTCCTTCGACACTTCTTAATAATGTTGTCCATAACAGAGGTATTTGAGCTGCATATTTACTGCAACGGATACGCCTCCAGCTTACCCACAGAGAGAAAATGGCATCCACAGTCACTCTTTCCTTGGTTTCTCTGATCCAACGTCAAGATCACAACTTTATGCCGTCCACCCAAGGCAAAAGGAATCTACTTCCTTTCAAGTCATCCTTCTCCGGCGCTGCATTTAACCCAGCTTCACTTTCTCAAAAGTTTTGTTCTTTAACAAGTTACTCTTCATATCCTCATCCTGTGAGTTACTACCTTATCCCATTTTCTTTCTGTTTAGTTCCTCATTTTAAACTTTCGAATCGGTGCACATTTTAAAATTTCTTTACTTCTTTTGAGTATTGTGCTTGAAACACTAGTCAGGCAAGCCTTCTTCTTAAGTTTGCAGTGCAAGCTAAGAAATCTTCTCCAGCCAAGGCCATAAATAAAAGCGCAAAGAGCACACGATCTCAAAGGCTAGCTCTTGATTATTCCCAGATTCTGAGGTATCCGATCGTGTCAGAGGCCGGAATCAAGAACATCACGCAGAACAACACATTGGTGTTTGCCGTAGAGAAGCGTGCCGACAAGAGGCTCATAAAGGATGCTGCCACGAACATATTCAAGATTCAGATCAAGAAGGTTAACACTTGTATCATGCCCGATGGGACCAAGAAAGCCTTCCTTATGTTGAAATCGGATTGTAGTGCAGGAGACGTGGCTAAGAGAATCAAAGCCATTTAGTAGCTTCAGCAGGTATCTGTTATGTATACTAAACATTTATGTTCATTTCTTCTTGTAATGACTTTGTCTATGCCCCATTCCTAAATACACTTTTGGGTGTTGGGTCCCAAATTGGTTTCCCATTTTATTGTAATTTTAAAAAGTCAAATGAATTTGTCATGCATTCATGTCAACAATGTTCATATCTTAATATGCAAAAGGGAGAAAGGACATTCCATGTTCTTTAGTTCAATGAGTTAATGAAGCTTTTGACAAGCTATTTGGTTTGGACTACATTAAGGATTATCTTCTTGGAGGTCTTGATCAATTCGATCAAGTACTCAAGTAGGACATCTATGCTTTCAATTGAAACACAAATATCGATCTTTGACATATTTTTGAATCATATTTTGCCCAATAAAGTCATTCATTTTTTTTTATAAAATGGCTACACGCTCGAACAATCAAATCTCGTTTGGACGTGATGGATCGTTTTTTGAGTTTTAGGCCATATTTTTTTGGTTTGGAAAAATTAACTTTCAATTTTTTCAAAAATTTTTTCAGTTTCTTCTAACTCATTCCAATTTCTTTCAACTTCCTTCAGAGTCTTCCAATGACGATGAATATACAATAATATTATATATCTAAATTTGTAATATATTATTTCAAGCACAGACAAGGATGAATTATTTTTATTCAAAATTAGGATTTTCTTATATATTCATTTGCAGGATTATTTAGTTGCGTGATTTTTTAACACTTTAAACCTTCCAACATTATCCATCTTCTTCCAAATTTTTTCAAATCCTTCAAGTTTTCTTCTAGCTTCTTGTTTTTTCTAACATGCAACTCTAAAATTCCTATCCAACCCAAAAGAACCTAGCTTTTAGAGTAAAAAAAATGTTTTTAGATATCCACCCAAAAGCTAAAAATTTGGTTCGTACTTATTCTTTGTCGTGAATCTCGTGATGCCTTGTCCTTTAATATTATTAGAGTATATGAATTTTTTCCTATAACTCTATTTCTACTCGAATTAGAATATCTCGAGTACTCTAAATCATACTTGATAATTAGCCAACAATATGTGGGTTAAAAATAACATCTTCGTTCATATTTAATCTTTCCGTTAGACTTTTTTGGTCAAAATGTATACTTTTTGACCTTGATATATGAAAAATATACATTCTATTTTGATACTCTTTCCGTTCGGAAATGTTCATTACATTTGACTTTTCTTGGTCAAAGTTTATAAAATTTGACTACGATCTGTGAATAAACACATTGTATTATAATGTAAATTTAATATCAATATATTCATAATAAAATGTAGTTTTCAAATATCAATTTTCTATAAAATATATCTATGTATAAATATAGATATTAATGGTCAAAGTCCAATATTGGAGACCGTGAAAAGTTAAATGGAAAGAACATTTCCAGTCGGAGGGAGTATAAATGTATTGCTATCAGTAATTTCCTTTTGAAACGTGGTATTGGTATTTTAAAATATTGATATCAATGGTCCAAGTGTTACATTTGAGACCATAAAAGGGTAAATCAGAAGAATAAATCCGAACGGATAGAATAGTATGAGTTAAAACAAAATTTCAGTTGAAAGTAAAAATATTTTTTGATTAAAAATGTTTATTTGAGTCAAAATAATCTTTATATATACAAAATGTGAATCTAGTCCTTTGAAAACAATTTATCTCCTACAATTTATCTTGTAAAATTCTGTGTATTAGTTTTTGTATCAATTAACATGTTAACTTATAAATTTAGAATACAAATTTTGCATAAAGGGCTAATTTGATTCACATTTCCTAGTTACAAGGATTAATTTGACTAAACCAAACTTACATAGACAAAATTGACTTGTGAGTGCACTTATAGGGACTAAAACGAGTATTAAACTACTTGTAATCTTGCATGATGGACTTCATGGGCGGCTCGAAGGGTGTGGAAGGTAGCCACCCACACAGGGCTCCCAAATTTGTAGGGCCCAATTTCGTTAAATATTTATTATTTTAATTATTTGATATTTTAAAATTCAATATAAATTTATATTTATTATTCAAATGTTTATAAAAATAGTTATTAAAAATAAAATTTAGCACTAATTTTAAAAACACAAGTACTCTACAAAAATTAAATAAGGCCCAAGATGTGATTTTGGTGCGGGACCAATCTCATATCTTTTCATTTTGGGCCGGCTCTGATTGACTTAGTGGGCTTACATTGTCAACAATGTGTGACCAAGCACTGTTACTGCTATGACTTTTCTTTGTAGATTGCTAGGTGACAATAGTCCGGTCGTGCGGCAATATTCCGCCACGACTCTGGTTGGCGGCGATCAACAACTGCATTTCTTTTAGTTGTTTTCTTTGTTAAGTTGGAGAATGAAAACACCAATTAAGAACAGGAAAAATAAGAGAGGGGAGAAAGATTAGGGTTATGAGATGTTGGTGATTTTATTATTATCGGCAAATAGATCTTTAGGCAGAAGATAAAAGTAGACGGTACCATGGATAAGTTTAAAGCTAGATTGGTTATATAATGCTTTAGACAAAAAGAGAGAATCGACTGCTTTGACACCAACCTATGCCTTAGTTGCAAGAATTTCGTCTATTAGGTTGTTGATTGCCCTAGCGGATAAACATAACCATGTCATTCACCAAATAGATGTGAAAACAACAATCTTGAATGCTGAATTGGAAGAAGAGATTTACAATAAACAACCCGAAGGATTTGTTATATCGGAAACAATCATAAAGTGTGTAAGTTAAAAAAGTCACTGTGTGGCTTAAAGGAAGCACCTAAGCAATGGCATTGAAAGTCCGCCCCTTGTACCTGCATGGCGGCAGCCCCCAAAGTCCCGATATGAATTTGTAACATCGTTGAATGTGTGCGCACTCCGCATCTCCTAACTCGTTTGAGAACGTCTATTCAAATTTTTGTTTGATATAAGTAAATCAAATCACACAAAATAGTCGATGACACAAAAATCACTAACAAGAGAATATTTCATTCATTGATTGATTAATAAGTTCATAGTTGATGGATACATACATTGAACTCACACATAAGAAATGTTAATTAGAAAAGACTACTAATTAATACCCCTCCGTCCCCAATCTGATTACAATTTTTTTTTCTCTTGATAACTTTTGTTTATTTATGCGATTTCATTAATTATTTAATAAAATAAAATATTCTTGTCACTTCTTGTTTTGTAGAACTTTTGATGTAGTTTTTTAATATGTAATTTTTATTTCTTATCGATATACCAAATTGTAAATAATAAGATTTCAAAAAGTGAGATATTTCTCTTCGTAAACCCCAATTTGTATTACAAATTGGGTACAGAGGGAGTAATAATAAGAACAACAACAATAATAATACTATAAGAAATAAACTACTTTTACTTTATAAGTTGCTTATTAGTTAAATATTTTTTGTAAAAGTCAAATTACTTATATGATAGATCAGTCACCTGGATATATTTATAAATGGATAGAAATTATTTTGTAAGTATATAATCTAGAGTTAACTGAGAAAAGAAAAAACTAATTTAAAAATAAATAGTTAAAACATCCATATTTTTTTACTTATAATCAACTTATAAATTAATGATCAAAGTGTTAGACTAAAAATTGAAAATCATCTCGAGATGAAGGGAGTATCATCATTTTAATTGCAATCAAAATGTTATAGAATTTAACTAAAAAGTGAAATTATATCAATAGGGATAAGAGTATAGGCTAAAATCCAGCATTGGTCCTTCAACTTTATGAGTTGGGCACAATTGGTCCTTCAAGTTTCAAAAGTACATAAATAGTCATTCAACTTTATGAGTTCTGCACCATTGGTACTTCAAGTTTCAAAAATCCATAAGTAGTCCTTCAGGTTCACGTCAGCCCTCCAGATAAAGTCCTTTTGACAGTAAATATTAAAAGTTAAACGAAATACTAGTTTCATATAATACGAGTAAATTCCACTAGGTACGACTACTCCGTATTATATGGAGTTAGTATTCTATTTAGCTTTTAACATTTACAGTCAAAAGGACCTCATCTGGAGAGCTGACGTGTACTTGAAGGACTACTTATGCACTTTTAAAATTTGAATGACCAATCGTGCATAACTCATAAAGTTGAAGGACTATTTATGGACTTTTAAAACTTGAAGAACCAATCGTGCACAATTGATAAAGTTGAAGGACTAATGACAGAGTTTAGCCTAAGAGTATATGATACTTAACATTATATAATATAGATATAGTATTGTACCAGTTACTTCACTCCAAATCTTTCGGTGCGGGATGTGTTATATCATCCCACAACCTCGGCCGTGCCACACGTGGTAGTCTCTCGCCACCTCTTGCCAAGTCACTGCCAGCTAGGATCGGTGGAGAGCCGGAAGAGAGAAGAAGAGAAGAGTGTGTTTGGTACGGATGGCAATTTTTACTTGGTGGATAATGGATCCAATCGACCCGTTCTAATGGATAAAACTCAATGTGATCGACGGGTGATGGATGAACTATTCGTGGATTGGGTCGAATGCGGGTGGAGTTGTTTCTCACCCGTCACCCAATCCATCACCGACATAATTAAACTTTAGAAAAAATTAAAACTGAATGTGTTTCTTTTGTTGGGTGTAAAGTTTATTTTAGTTTTCAATATTTTATTTTATAAAAACCTAGTTTGTAACTTAGATTATTATTGTTTCTTTGAAGGACTTTAATAGTCAATTTGGTCTCTCTAAGTTTACTCGAGACTCAATTTAATTTCTGTAATGGTATGTTTGGAAACATGGATTTGGATTTCAAATCTGGATTTGGCTTAAATTCCATGTTTGGTTAACTTAAACATTTTGAATTTGGATTTGAATCAAATCTCTTTACATTCAAAACAAAGCTTAATTTGAAATCCATGCACCTCCCCTTGTCATTTGAAATTCAGAATTTCAAATTTTGGAATTGAAAGGAAATACTAGTTGCGAAACACTACCTAATGGTATGTTTGGGAACATGGATTTAGATTTCAAATCCGGATTTGGCTCAAATTACATGTTTAGGAAACTTAAAAATTTAAAATTTGGATTTGAGTCAAATTCTTCTCATTCGTAACAAAGCTTAATTTAAAATCCATGCACCTCCCTTTGTCATTTGAAATTTAAGATTTCAAATTTTGGAATTGATGAAATGCATGAATTGAAATGAAATGCTAGTTGCGAAACACTACCTAAGTTTATTTGAGTACTGAAGAATCCATATTTACACGAAATTTTCGCACTTTAATTTTAACTAGATTCTCCAATCTAGACACTAGAGTTGAAGTATGAAAAACACAATGAAGTTTTAATTTTTTTTTCAATTTATTTTACGGAGTATTTAAAGATAGATATAAAATAAAAATTACAACTCTCTCCGTCCACACCTTTTTTTTTTGTTTTCATCCGTCTAATTTAATTAATTCCTTTCCAAGCAATCCCAAGGAAAATAAACTTCTACTCAATTTCTTTACTCTCTGTTTAATTTATAACGTAGCCCAAGTGATGAGCTGAGAACTATGATTAAAGAGAAGAAAAATTCAGTAGTATGTGGACCAAATTAAAGAAGCAACAAGCAAAGTAGATCCACAAATGTGACAAACTACTTTTGAAACTAAAAGTCCTATGTGTTACTTAGATCAACTCCAATGGGAAAGACAAATGAAGAGGTAAGATATCATAATTGCCATATTTGTCTTTTCTTCACACAAATCAAACATCCAATAGAGAAGGTAAATCAAGGTAATTTACCTTCTTCTATTTTAGAAAGGTATTTTTACCTCCTCAAATACAAAAGGTAAAATATTTGATGCCAAAGCCAAGTAATCTCCGATGCATCGTCGATCTTCTATTTTTCAAAATTAGACAGAATTGTGAGATATGAAATTAAGAAACAAATGAAGTGAAAGAGGAGTGAAGATAGAGTTTTGTATTTGGGGATGAGGGAGACAAAAAAGCAACCATACAGAATGGCGCTCGGACTCGTCTCTTCCCCTTGTGCGGCTGCTATTATTGCCTTAAATTCATCTCCCGATTCATTAATCTAAAATTTGTAGAAAAGGAACATTTGACAAGAAATTAAAAAGAAATAAATTTTGAAATTAACCCTAAAATGTCTTTTAATTTGGGAAAAGTATGTTTACCTTTTCTAATACCCTCGATCCATTGGAATCAAATAATTTTTTAGAAGGTATAATCGTCTTTTTGAGAAGGTGAAAGATTAAAATACCTTCTTCTTTTGCCTTCTTCCTTTGGAGTTGCTCTTACAGTGTATGTTATACTCCTAAGCTAAGTCATACTTCATCTCTCCCAAAAACTCCTCCTTTCTTTGTTTTATTGTGATAAAGGCATTTCTCTTTCAATTTAAAAACTACTTTTACTTATATTAATTCTTAACCTATCTATCACAACATACTTTTATTCTTCATTTCAAGGATATTTTTAAAAAATTAACACAAAAATATCACTCTACTCAATTTTGTAAAAGTCAAAATGTGAAAATCTTTATAAAACCGAGGAAGCATATTGCAAGTAGTCTTGTTATTTGTTAAAAGAAAGTATAATTTTCCTTCCTAAGCTAAGGTAAGAAGCTATATACATGCACGTACACATGTGCACCACATTAAATAAAAGTGAAATTTGCACTAAATGGGACTAAAACATAATGACTTTACTAATCTAGGACTTAAACTTTTTCTTAATAAAATGCCGCATGCATGTGCCATTTGCTTTTTTTGTTCGCCCGGAAAAAAGCTAAGGCATATTTACCTTTCCTTCGTCTTTAAGTTTAGATGACAAATTAAGGTTTTAAATGCTTAGGCCACACGTGTGGGTGTGGGAGGGGGGTGATGAAGGCATCCGGCATAGACGCCAGCCGGTCCCGACGGGGAACACCGTTACACCGCCTCCACCCCTCCCCCCAAGCATTAGGGATGGCAACAGATTGAGTTTTAATTAGGTGGAGCTTCACCATTCATCATTCGTTACATACCATTTCTATTACCGAACCATTTCTCCACCCCTCACCCTCATCCATTTCTATTACCGAACCATTCATCATTCGTTACATACATCATCCACCACCCAATTCATTCACCACTCGCGGGTGAAAGAGGTGAAGCAGGTGAAAACGAGTGTTATAAGTAATGGTTTTTTTAATCCTTAGTGACATCAAATAAATTTTTTATGACTAACTTGATCCATATATTTTATTATATATATGGACTAATTTGACTCATGGTCTAAATAAATACTTCAAAAAAAAAGAAAGAAAAAAACATACTCTTTTCTCTCGGCCTTTCCGCAGAGGCCAAGTATCATGTTATGGCAAATGCATGTGTAGACATATGGTGGATGCGGGTGGTGTTCTTGGTGCTCGATCTTGGCGTCCCAATCTTGTTTTTTCCTACATTTATTTTGTTGTTATCAATCTGCTCTATTTATTGCAGCAAGTTAGATATTTCATGAACTTCTGAAGCACATTGATATCGATTCTCAAAATGTTCTTGAATGCATATCATTCAATGACGGAGGGAGTAATTTTTATTAGAAATATTTGTACTAAATAACACTAAAACTAAAGTCATTTTTCTAAAGAGCACTTAAAATGTTTTATTCTCTAAATCGCACTTAATAATTTCCATAATGTTCAGTGATGATGAATATTTACTTGAATAATGACTAATGCATAATGACTAAAAATGCTACATTGGGAAGAAAAACACACGTGATGCAATTTAGGGAAAATCATCATGTTTTGGTGCTATTTAACTAAATTCCTCTTTTTATTAATCAAGTTGAGCATTCTTAAATGATAACATTAATGTGCCAAGAGTCTGTATTTATCATAAATAGTCATAGCATGTCTTTTGGGCCGAGTATTGGGCCTATTTGTATACTTGTATGTATTCCAATCTTGTCTCTAGCGTGCCTACATCCTGAGGTTGTCATGGGCTCATGGCGGTCGAGGCTGACGTGCGTGGATGGTACTATGTCGGTCAAACACAGTAAATAGGCACGTCTATCAATTATTTGGGGAGAAGAATAAAAGATCACGATATGCCGCCGGTAAATATTGAAGTGTGTATGTTCACCGGCACGAGAGGGAAAGCGTGTTTAAGATCTCATACTATATTTCTATTCATACTGTAACAAAAATTTAGAAAAGATGAAAGTCACCCTTTAGAAATGGAATGAATCTTTTGATGCGCTGGATCCATCTCCATTCGGACGGACGTAAACGAGTAAAAACTATTCCTAAAAGAGACTGACTGCTAAAGGTAATTTTCACTTCTTAGTCGGTGAATTATTTGAAAATGACTTTGCAACTAACGACTTTTTACAAACGTACTAAAGACTCCGTTATTATTATTCAATTTCGATACTACGTGCAATTAATTCCACTTAATAACCACAAAACCAAACGAACATTGGACAAACGCTTCTTTACAGCAACAATAATAATATAATCATCTGCTAATTAACATATTCTTCTCTCACTTAGCTTACAAAGAGAGAGAGAGAGAGAAGGTTTCAATACTCCATTTATAATGGCTACTTTCTCTGATCTTGTTTTAAAAGCATCTGATCGGGTTTTACATTTTTACGAATCGATTATTATTCATCCACTTAATCACTTCATTTCTTCATATTTATATATAGATTTGTTTATATGGTCATCATGTTATTAACGATGACATTGTTTGTTGTTCCACGTCGTAACTGTACGGCCATGCAGATGATGACGATGAGGAAGAGAGCTGCGGCCGTTGAAGTTGCCGGAGCATCAAAACCTGCCGGACGTCCCACAGTCTTTGCCGGAGAAAGGACGACTCCGCCACGAGCTGTTTGTTCTCCGCCTCGACTTGCTGGAACTGGACCGTGGCGGTCCGGAGCCGGTCCAAGAGAACCCGGTTCATCTCTCTCTGCCGGTTCACTTGGTTCTTCAGGTTCTCCAGGTGCTTTTGTTTTCTCATCCGCGACCGGCGTGCCGACTCGCGGTTCGAGATCATTCGCCTCCGCTTTCGCTCGTCCATCTCCGAACCGGACCGGGAGCTTGCGCCCCTTTTCCGGTTCCCTTCATCTGAACCGGAGATCGAGTTCTCGTCGGATTTAATAAGGTTCGGTTTCTCATCGGAGTATTCGGAATTGGACAGACCCGGTTCTTGTGAAACCGGTTCTGGTTTGGGCAAGAGAAGGGGCGGCGGATCTTGTATGGGCGGCAAGAGAAGAGGCGGCGGTTCTAGTGTGGGCAAAAGAAACGCCGCCGGTTCATCTGGTTGGAGGTCGTCGAAGGCTGAATCCCATGGGAAATCAGGGAATGGGCTTGAGAAAAAAGGGTCAAATGTCGCCGGAAAAGCGGACAACATGGCCGGAAAAGTAGCTACACGGTGCGGGGAGTGTGATCGGAGAGGGAAAGGGAGGGAACGGAATGGGAGAGTGGAGTATTTATGGGAGGGCGGAGGAGCCGGTGGTGGTGGCCCACGAGGGGTGTTTTTGTCTTTTCAGCTTTAACTTTTGAGTCACTCGACACTTGTCACTAGCGAGGTGGGACCCAGAAAAGAAATCAGACAAATTAAACGATGATGACTTTAGCGCTAAGACTTGGCTTTTATTTCTACCGGAGTATTTTAATTAAAAAATGATTGCCATAATTGATCAAACTGAATCTTGTTGAAATCTTGTTTTGTCATTGAATTTTTGAGAGGGTGGGTCCCTCATGTTTGGTGATCTTATATTACCTCCGTCCCATTTTATAACGTTTGTTTCGATTTATGATGTTTGATTGAAATTATTTTCAAACCAATTTATATGACAAATGGTATAGAACTAAAAAAATAAAAATTACATAATAAAAAACTACATCAAAAGATCTACAAAACTAGTAGTAACAATCATATTTTATTTTATCAAATTGCTAACGAAAATAGAGAAAGAAAGTAAATAAAGTTTGACCTTGTGAATAGTAAACAGACATTATAATTTGGGACTGAGGGAGTAAAAAACATATACTCCCTTCGTCCCTAATTTGAAATCAAATTGGAGTTTACGAAAAGAATTATCTCACTTTTTGAAATTATTTTATTTACAAATTGGTATATTGATAACAAATAAAAATTACATATTAAAAAACTACGTCAAAAGTTCTACAAAACAATATGTGACAATAATATTTTATTTTATCAAATACTTAATGAAATCGCGTAAACAAACAAAAGTTATCGAGAGAACATAAAAAAAATTGTAATCTAATTGGGGACAGAGGGAGTATTTAGCTGTCTCAAAATAAATTTCTCAATTTAAATGTTTTATACTTTAGAAAAATTATGATTAAAATTTATACATAGGAAATTGAAATTATATGACAGACTCAATATTTATTTTAAAGGAAATAAAGAATTTATTTAAGGCAAACAAAAAATACACAGTAAAAAGAGTAAAAAATTGTTTTGGAGGAATGAATTACTTTCTACTTTGACTTTCTAAGTCTGCCTATATTTTCTAGATCATATATTTTATTTTTGAGACGTCTCAAAAAAGAGTCATCTATCTATTTTTGAAAAAAATAATTTAAAGATTTTAAATTTAATCAATATTATTTTTAAAAGTTTATTTTTCAGAAACTATTTTAGAATTAAATTATATTATTGATTTAAGCCAATTAATCATCTCATATTAGCCTTTAGCAGTTTGGCGTTAATGTTTTCAAAATTAATATACTATTTTACATCATAATTTTATTTAAAATGTCAATATTAATAAAAATGTTGTTTTCAAAATCAATTTTTTTCAACTTTTTTCGGATACTATATACTTCAAAAATAATGAGATTTTGTTTAGCACTAATGACTATATTACAAATGTAATATCTATTTATACATACTTTCTTAATTTACTGAAACACTGAGATTTATCGCATTCATTAAGGATCAACTCTAGGCTCTCTTCATGAGAAATTTAGTTTGGTACTAAAAAATTTACTTTATACGTATGGAAATGAATTACTTATGTCGTGAGAATTACTTACTTTATAAGAGAATTACTTTATATGAAGTACATCTGGTAATATCTAAGGTACGATATGATTAAGACTTACGGAGTATCTAATATATTTTTTTCATGGATGGAACTCAATATCTTATAAGCCTTCGGAATTCAGGTATAATTACATTGATACTCATAATTAAATAAATTGAATCAAAAATAAAATTTATCAATGATAGAGATCTTGTAAAATAATATAGGCTATGGTTTAAGAATCTTATATTCTTTTAAAAAGTATCTTATATACGCGCCCAAGTGGCAAAATTTCATTGTATGAACTTGTTTTTCCCATGTGGCCGCTTGACCTCTAATCTTAGGAGCTCATGTAATTTAATCAATTCAAATCCCAAAATAATTTAATTATTGTCATTAAGTGAAGATCTTCTTGCATGTGGCCGTGCAGTCTTTCAAATGATTGAACATTTATGACTTAAATTAATGGATAATTCCTTCTCTACATTAATAATATGAGTCTCTAATAATATTTTTGCAAATAAAGAATTTCCTCAGTCCCCAAATATTTGTCACACTTGTATTTTCCAAGATAATGTATCAAGCTTTTTCAATTCATTTTATTTACATATTGGTATAGAAATATAAAATAAAATTTACATATCAAAAAAGTATATGAAAAGTTTTTCGAAATAAGAAGCGCCAAAAATATTTTATTTTATCAAAATAACTAATGAAAACATTGAAATAAACAAAAGTTTCCGCAACTACTGAAAAAGCAAACGTTGCAAATAGTTTGGGACGGAGGGAGTATAACCTGTGCATCTGTATAATTAGTTACGGAGTAATTGCTTACAAATAAACTGTAACGCCCCGAAACATACCCTAGAATTATTATTAAATAATTATTCGTTTAAACAAATTTGTTTTGATTAAAATAAATTGTTGTTGGGCTTTGGGCCGATACGAAATATGTTTTGATATCTATTATCGCACTCTGGATAAATCTCATAGAGATAAATCCAATATATTGACTTTTTGTGTGGTCTTGATTGGAAACCTGAGTACAGACCCAAATCAAGAGTAAATGAAAAATTTGTTTATAATGTAAATATTTAAATGATTTGTTAAAATAAATCAAGAGAATAATTGATATGAGTTAAATATGAGAACCTTTTATGAGAAAAGTCAATTAAACCAATTTTTACTCTATCAAAGTCAACCATCCAAAAATATGATGTCAGAAAAAGTATTGCAAATAATTATGAAAAATATGTCGTTGAATAGAATTCGACTGTCTGATCGCAACGGTGCGAACGGATTTCAATTTGGAGAAAGTTTGACCAAAAAGTGTACCCCAACTGGAACCAAAATTGGTCCTAATTAGGGAGACTGTGCAGACGGCGACCCCTCCTCCACTCAGCCGATCGTGAGTCATTTCCTACGCAGAACTAGCTACAGGATTGTCTTCTTCCTTCTCCATTTTCCTATATAAGGAGGAAAAACCAGATTCCATTTCTGCACCAAAACTTAGTAAGTTTAGTATCATTCAGTTCCTTGTTTAGTGGAGAGTTCATTGGTGTTGTCAATTTGGTGAGAGGTCGCCGGAGCTGAGAGTAATCGTCGCCGGAAGTTTTGCCGGAAAATTCTCAAAACCTTCGATAAGCTTCGAGG